AGACAATCACCTCCAGAGGTGTCCCCAAACAAGCCTTTTGTCCCTAGAGAGCTCAGACAGAAACCTGCAGCTGCCCCCAAGTCTGAGTCCAGCTCCTTCAGTCCACAGTCCTGGCTGACCAAGCCAGTGAGCTCTCTTACTCCGTGTGTTCTCCTCTGTGCAGGGCTATCCAGGTTTCCCTTACTCCAGACTCAGGCTTCTTCTTCCTTTGTCTCTTCTCCCTCCCCTCCCCTGCCCCCCAGGAAATTTCTGGGAGTTGTAGTCCAAATGAACAGTCAGCACAGCTCTGCAGACTATCCCCTGGTTCCTTCTGTTGTTACACACATTACATTCACATTACACTTCCTTTTTTCCAAATCCTCTCTTACTAGCCCCAACTCCAATCCAGTGAGCTTGCCCCAGTGTAGACACGCCTGCCAGTCACAATATGGTGGTGATACATCACATGCAACTGGTCTCTTTGGGCCAGATTTCAATAATCTACTCACATAATGTAGTATCTTATTCTGTATGAGATCCCATACATTTCAATGGGATAACCAGTCTTGTTTATTCTTGTGATTTTATCAGGTATCTTGCTATATTTGGAGATTTTTCATAAAGCCCCAGCCCCTGGAGTCTCATATTATCTGAGAATATCAACCATCAATTGCAACAAAATATATATCCACATCTAGCCACTATGCTTATGGGAAAAAACTTAAAAATATGGCCTGAGTGCATCTTAGAGTCTCAGAACCCAGAAGAAAAATAAAACACCGCTTTTTTTTTTTTTTTGATCTCACGATTTTTTGAGGCCTGACTCATAATTTTGCATGCTCAGGGTCAACACTCCCAAATGACTCATAGACTAATGCACAAGTCAATGTAGGCTTGATGTGAGAATTTTGGCACTGTAAGCACTTGCCATACTAATAATATACCTCCCATCCACACAAGGCACATGAAGAATCAGGCCCAAGGAGTCTATAAAATATCTTGCAGCAGGTAATATACATTGTAGTAGTGTTTATTTAATATTTTCATTTATAATACCAGGAAAAGTCCATTCAATTAGGTAGGTTTAAATATGGCTTCATGGTGCTGTTTACAGAGAGGTGTGACTTCCTGCCTTTGCTCTTTGTTACTCTTTGGCAAAAGGTTCATTATTACAGTACACCAGAGGCCATCAGAAGGTAAAGACACCTTTAGAGAGGCTAAGAGACATATGCTAAGACATGCAGAAGTGCTATCTCTGTAATAAACTAGGTTATTACAGTATTTATATTACAGTGACACAGATGCCTCACTGATTTTGCATTCTGTGGCCCTGCACAGGCACAGTTTCACACACATATTACAGCATGTACATATCATTACAGGTTTCCCTCATTTTATGCTGTACATGCACTCTTGGAAAACAGTGCATAACTCAAATTTGCATAAAGGGAACCCACTTTACAACATAACAAATAGGGCTACGTTCCAAGACCTCGACTGTACTGACCTCCAGACCCATTTCTACCACTTTTACAAGACAATTTTGGTACTCACCAACAGCAGATAGTGCCCTATGCTTGTGTGTACTATCATAATGAGGGTGGCAACTACAGAAACATGCTGCAGACAATGAGCAAGGAGCACACATTCACACAAGAGACTATACTTTGGTGCATGTCACTCCCACAATGCACCACACAAAGCAGCTGACTGTGGGCTTCCAAAACACGAGTCACATAAGAATGAATTTCTCACATATAACAAATTTTTGGTATAAAAAAAGTTATTGCACAAGAGCGAATTCACACATACAGAACCCGCATAAAGCGAGGGAAACCTATATTCCCATGGAAATTAAGAGGATTCTATTCATGCTTAAACTTATTAGAACATCTGCTGAAGTGCTTGCAGGACGTTGACCTAAATAAGGATAAGGTGAGAGAAGCGATAACAGGAAAGACATAGATAGTAAGGGCACAAGATTGCATAGGTTAGCTCAATATATAAGCTGCAGATTGTTAAGTTTTCTTTCCCTGTATCACCATCTCACTAAATAATTTCAGGCTTTAAAAAATATTCAAACATATGCTTAATTTCAGGCATGTAGTTAGTCCCATCAACTTCAATGGGAAATACATAGATGCTGAAGTGTCCTGCTGAACTGGGACCTAAGTAGACATTTTTTAAACGAATTTCTTGTTTATTTAATCTGCTTTATGTACTCATAAATGAAAACAAACAGGAAGCATAATGTACAGTTGTTGACTGCTGTCTTAACGGCCTTACAGAGCTAGAGAGGCCTGTAAAAGTAGAGCAGCTAACAACCCTAATGTAAAACCTTGAGAGTTACCTCAACAGTGCATGGGCAGAACAACTTCCTAAATGCATGGATGGATGACTGTCAGATGTGCTGGCTTGCTGATATAATTGGAACAGAAGAATGACATCACCACTGACACTTTGAGTCTGATGACAATGGGTTATGTTTAGGTTTCTGGTGCATTTTGGACAAGGAAGCAAAAGCCTGATGAAGCACAGGAATATATTCTCAACGATGCTGTCGGCAACATGAAGGTGAAGTGTGTAAGGCTTCCCTCTTATTTTCTTGCTTTTAAACATTTGGGTGGTTGGGGTGCACTGCAATCTTAACTGTCACTATGTTTTTGCTAGTGTACTAAAAAAAGAAGAGAAACCCATTTAACTCATCCTATTAATCTTGAAATTTCACAGGAGAAGAGACTTTTCTGCCTCATTATAGAACCAAAAAAAAAAAAGAGACAGTATTTGAAAAGAGGGAGTTTGTGTGGGCTGGCAATTATGAGCCGGCAACAAGCTGTGTCAGCCATCTTGCCTAAAAAGTAATGTGAGACAAGGATTTCTTAGGGTCATATATTTTAATCGATCTTTATTGGTCTCTCTATTGGTCACAGACCTGATGAAGAATGTCTTGCATTTAAAAGCTTGTCTAACTTTATCCCAACAACCCAGTTGTCCAATAAAAGATATCACCCTAAGAAATCCTTGCCTCTTGCATTTCTGGACCATCACGGCTAAAATATGACCCTTACACTACTTTTATGTAATGTCTTGTTGAGAGTGGTAGCCTAACAAAGGAGTCAGTAAGCCACGTTTCAAATTACCATACTGGCTGCATAAACTTAAGACAACTATTAACTTTCCAGAGGAAAATATTTGCTTTAATATTAAGAATTAAGAATTTTTTCTTCTGATAGAAAACAAGTTTTTATAGAAGACCTGGTGCACCAACTAATTCATCTCCCTTCCACAGAATCATTATTCTGACTGTCCACTTACTAGCACAGTCCAGCCTAGTTTTATGGCCCAATCAATGACCTTCCCACCATCTCTCTTAGGAGATGACTCCACACCCTGGCTAGGATGCCCTCCTGGGCAGGGATAAGAGCCAGGATGGCAGAAGGAGAACACACTCTGTTGCCTGCAGGCTATTGCAGGTTTTTCTGTTCCCAGACTGTACAGCCGGGAGCTGCTGGAAGTACTATTGACTGGCAAAAAACCACAGCTGCAGTGCCAGATCTTGTGTTTCATGATAGATCTTTTGCAAAACCTTACCTGTAGCAGAGATTTAAAAAAAAACTGCAGCAAGTACCTGCCATGCTTACAGTGTCCCTTGAGTCCATATGAGAGGCTGCTAGCAATACTGCCACTGCATTTACTCAGAGCAGGGCTCACCACTCTTGTATCCCATAGCTGGAGCCTGAAGCACTAATGCAAGCCAAAAACTGTAGCATTTCACCAGCACTAGTCTAGTTGGCCTTCCCAGTACAGTACAATCTGCCACTGCCTCTGGCTCCCATCTTTTCAGCTCTCCAATACTAAGGTTAGCTAGACCAGAATTTAATTCCCAGGATAAATTAAAACAGCTCCAGGGAAACTATAGCTTCTCCCAGGCTCCCCTTGGTTCCAAGCTGCTATTTCCGCATCTGGAATAGGCAGAGAATAAAAGAATTCCAGACAGATCCCCTTTCCCTTAGCAGTGCCACCTCAAATAGAGCAACTACATTAGGTGTATGCTCTCAGGAGCTTCCTCTATGCTAGGAAGAATCTCCAGGTCTTTTGCTGCATCAGAGTGGAGAATCTGGCCCTGTTTCTAAAATAAATTCCTCTCATCTATTTATTCAGTCTGGTTGTAGATAATTCCAAATAAGCAAAAAGTGGATCCTTGAGCCATTTCTTCTCAGTGTCAATCAAGTCAGTACCAGCTCAAAACAGGTGCAAAAAACCCCCCTCACACCTGCACTGCCTTTGGGAAAGACACCATGCCTCTTCTGAGGAGAAGCCACTTGGATTAGAATAACAGCACCCACCTGCTCTCCCATCATGCCAAATTAGATCACAAGGAAGTCGCTGGTGCTGGCTGCACCTTGTTAACCCTGGTTGGGCACTTCTTACCTGCCTGCACCAGCTAGATGTAGCTGGTTTTGATTTGCAAAATAGGATCATCTCTGAGATTTTTCTAACTCGCACCTGGGCAGGGGCAAAAAAATCCAAACACTGTACCTAGCCGTAGGGTGCGTTTCACCTTGACCCCTAGACTCAGGCAGTGCCAGTCAGGCTCTTGTCCAACTCTCTTTGGGGCTCCCACAGCCTAGCAAGGAAACAGGCAGCGAGGAGCAGCTAAAAGCTACCCTCTGCCCTTCTCTTAGGACGCAGCAGGTGCCCTCAGGGGAATGCTTGAATAGAAGTATCAGTGAGGGGACAGCAGCTGCTGGGAGTGGCCCCAGAAGAGATGCCAAGGGAAGCCCCTACTGAACAGGCCAGTTTGCTTTGGTTTATAAATCACAAAGGACAGCTCAGGGAGCCCAGTTTCAAGTTGCAGCCAATACAAGGTTTCTTCTTTACACAGTTCTCTTGGAGTGGCAGCACGCTGGACAACACAGATGTCAGCTCAGGTTTTGGCCTCTGTGCCACAGGGATGAAAGATTTTTTCCCCTCAGAAAGCAAACAAACAAAAGTTAAGCAAGTCTAACCACAGCCTTCCTCTGAAGTAGTTGCAATACTCACTAGCCTGGGGCCTTATTCTAACTTTCCTCAAAAGTAAGCACATATCAAGCGGTGAAAGTAAAGTGGGTCATCAGGTAAAGAGTGAGAGAAGAAGGTCCGAGAATAGAGGAAACATAACATACCAATACAATGGCTTTGCTTCTGCCCTTTACTCATATTTTTGTTCCCTCTACAAACAGCAAGAAACAAACTCCCAATTCTAGGGGGTAGCTCTGCTCATTGCCCTGGCATTTTGTCTTCCCAGAATTCCCAGAAAGGTTTCACACACAATGAAACTGCAGCCCAAATCAGTTATGAGGGGATATGTAAAGGAATATCATTATCTGCTCCAAACCTATTTTGTTCAGATGTCAGATGGCCTCCAGCACTGCATCAGATCAAATCCAGGAAAATTGTGTGTAGCCTATTGAGGGGTAGGAACTAAAATAAAGGGGATTATTCCAAAATTTCAGTGTGATGAGCTACTGAGCATTGGCACTCTACATAAACAATTCAAGATGCATCTGTCTAGAATTGCAAGCGCATGTAGTGGGTTGTTCAGACATCACTCAGACCTAGAGTATGTCAGAGAAATGTATCCTTCGGTATCTTAAGTTTTAATTGATCGGTTTTGTATAATATGATCCTCTGCACAATCCAGCAGCTGTCTCTACTTGGGAGCCTCTTAAAGGTACAGTTCGCTACATAACAAAAGTACTGCCCTTTGATCAATCTATGATCCCTGAGAGATAATGGTTCACTTAGGCTAGCTGATTTTAGTTTAGTTTAAAGCTGCAGGAAAAAAACAGGAACTATAAAGGAAGGTGTGGGAATAAAAAAGGCTTTGTAATTAACTGCATAGAGCTTAGTTTAAAAGGTAAGAGACACATATCATAGACTGATTGAAATTACTGACAGAACCAGCTATTAGACCATTTCTTGTTCATTTTATCTTCTGGTGAAGTGTTGCTTCTTATAAGCAGCTATTCGAGAGTTTTGTCCAGTCTAATTATTAAAGTACCAAGTGCTGGGCCTTCTCATGGGAGACTGCACCCCAGCCACAAAAGAACCGCGGGGATGTATCCTGGACAACAAAAAAGAGAATATGATATACCTCACAGCAGGGAGGTTTTTTTGGATATTCATCCTAAATTGCTACTTAATTTTGTGCCTAGTCTTTCAATCTAGTTTTTTCTCTAGTTATCCCTCTTTGAATCACACCATCTAATTCCTTCTCTTTAGTGTTAACACCCTCCAAATATTTGTAGTCTGTTAACACATCCCCACCTTAATCATCTCTTAGCCACTTTTAGCACTTCTAATCTTTCTACATAAATCAATCCTGCAGCCTCCTGATAATTTTTGTTGTTCTTCTTTGAACTCCTTTCAATTTGTCAACACATTTCTGGTAACGTGGTGCGCAGAACTCAGTGTGATATTTCAGGTATGAATGCATCAAAACTGTATAGAATAAATCTATTGCCACCCTCTTCTGTGAAATGACAACTCCATATGTAGAGCTCAGAAATGCTCTGGCACTTTTTGTAGACATGCTGCTTTACTAATAATGTATATGACTAGGGGTCTGCATAACTCTAGGAGGTGGCCAGCTGATTACATGGGCAGATGCCAGGGCCAGCCACCATTTGCATGGGCTGAGTGCATCAGGTCCCCTCCTGATTGGCCAAAGGGCCCCAGTAGCCTGCCCCTTGCCACTGATTGGTGGTGAGGGCTGTCCATCATATGGCCTCACCCCTCCCTGCTGATTGGAGGAGAGGAATGGGGACACAAGACAGGCAGCCATCAGCCAATCAGCAGCAAGGGGTGGGGGCAGCACCCATCTTGCCAGCAGCCCCCTTCCCCTCTTTCCCCTGGTGGGCTGTGTGGCCAGGCCACAGCGCCATGAAGAACATTTTATTTTGAGTAAGGCTTTTGCCGGGAGGGGGGTTGCAGCGAGCCCACCAGAATCGCAGAGCCCACCTATTTCTCAGAGCCCTCCCGAATTTGTGGTTTCCATGAAATCACGCAATCACAAACTTGGTAGGTCCCTAACTATGACCCCTAGGGAGTAACATAACTACTCTGGCACTAGGTAAGAAGCCAGCTAAGAAGGGGTGGAAGACTGGTGGCTTCCACTGGCAGCAGCCCATACACTCATGAGGCCTAAGGCATAAAAACTGCTTGTTACACTTCTGTCCCTAGGTTTCAACATTACTACTTGCAAGGTTTTCCCACCCTTTTGAGTAGTAAGTGCATTTAGGATTATTTTACCAATCAGTTTTGTATTTTTCTGGCATGAAAATCCATTTATCACTAGATAGATAGACGAGAGAGAATGTATGCCTCAGTACAACAGTCCTCAACAAAGACTCCTCCATCAGAATAAACTACACAAATCAGAAATGGGTCTTGACCAGACTTCCTGAATTCTTCACAATATTTGGTCCCCAGAGAGAAAAGCTGAGGGCATGTCTATACAACACAAGGCATTACTGTGCAAAACTGCCCACGCTACCACACAAACCAGAAACAGTATAATCATGTTTGCACGGTGTTGAGCCCAAGCTAATTAGTTCTGCTTCTCACAGTATCCCAGATTACCTCCAACTTGAAAGCCTGGGCATACAAAACAAGTTTAGGAATCTCTGCACAGCACTGCCTCGCACCATGCAGACATACCCTAACAGGACCAAATCCTAAACTAATTTCTGTGTGGGTGCCAAGTCCATCTGGAGCTCTAAAGAGCTGCCAGAGTCCACAGCCACAGACTGCTCAGCAGTAGGCAGGGAGCTACTCCAAAATTCTCTATAACCTTCTGGTCCCCCAGAGGGGAAGCCCATGACTGTCCCCTCCATGATGAGTGGGGTCACTAAGGAACAATATCACAGGATCACAGGAAAGCTGTGCACCCTAGCATGCTTATATTGAACCCGGGGTCTCACTGACTGACACACGATGGACACAGCGAGGAACCAACAGTTGGCTAACATTTCTAAAACAGGGTCGCCTCGGGTCACAATCTCATTCCTAAGGTGTGGGTATATGGGAATAGTCCAGGAAGGAACCCCAGACCTGCCTATCTGCCTCATGGGCTGTTGGAGTCCCAGACCTGAGATTTCAGGCACTCAATTTCCACCTCCAGGATCTTCCAGGCTGGGAACTGCACCAGGCCAGGGCTGGCAGAAAGGGTAATGTCATTCTGAAGGTAGGAACCACTCCAAGCCACACCCACCACTGTATCCCAGCCATTTTAAGGACTGGTCAAGATAAGATAGAGCTCCTTCCCCAGGATTCAGAGATCTTCATGCTCCATAAGATTTGTGCATACAGTTTTGCAATACAAAGTAAGAAAAATAAATCTTTGATGCCTCCCAATGGATTTGAGTGCCAGAGAGTGAATATGCATATTACATACCACCTCCCAGTGAGGCAAGGAATGCTGATAGTGAGTACTGTAACACCGCCTCCTCCCTTCCCTGCATCCCTTCTATTTGATCTTTTGCTACCCTGTTCTGAGCTTGTTTTTGTCTGTAGCCACCATCATGACACTTACAATGAGATCTCTGACACTGCAAAGATCAGGAGCCTTGTAAGTTACACTGTGTTATTCATAGAGGAAGGTGCAAGGTCAGACTAGAAAGGGTAATACCATATATAAAAGAATCAAAGAATCACATAAAATAAGGGTTGGAAGGGACCTCAGGAGGTCATCTAGTCCAACCCCCTGCTCAAGGCAGGACTGTCCCCATCTAGATCATCCCAGCCAAGGCTTTGTCAAACCAGGTCTTAAAAACCTCCAAGTATGGAGATTCCACAACCTCTCTGGGTAACCTGTTCCAGTATTTTACTGCCTTTCTCATAAGAAAGTTTTTCCTAATATCCAGCTTAAACTTCCCTTGCTGCAACTTGAGATCATTGCTTCTTGTTCTGTCATCTGTCACCACTGCAAAGAATCCTTGTTGGAACTACCCTTCAGGAAATTGAATGCTGCTATGAAATCCCCCCTCAGTCTTTTCTTCTCCAGACTAAATAAGCCCAGCACTCTCAGCCTCTCCTCAGAAGTCATGTGCCCCAGCCCCCTAAACATTTTTGTTGACCTCTGCTGGGCTCTCTCCAATTTGTCCACATCCTTTCTGTAGTGGGGGGCCCAAAACCTGACAAAAAACTTCAGATATGACTTCACCAGTGCCAAATAGAGGACATCAGTGCTATATGGAAGAGTAGGTCAAAGGGAGGGAGCAGAGAAGAGTGGGATTAAAGGCCTCGGAAGAATAGGAATAAAGAGAGACTAAAAAGAAAGGTGTCTCAATCCCAGTCTGCAGGCCAGAAGCCTGTGTACCCAAACCCTAAAGCATGAACATTTCATGACAGACACAAATACACTCTAGAAAGGCTTTATCAGGTTCCAGAGGGAGTCACATATGCAGTCCTGCTTGACTGATACAATGCTGACTATAACATAAGGCCTTTTCTGGGTGGACAGATTAATTTAAACAAAGAAACCATGGGCTCCTTAGACCTCAGGCACAGACCCGGAAAAGACCTGCAGGAAAATGGTTGCCTCTTTCTGGAGACAAATGAAGTCTAACTGTTGACTGAATCAAAGGCTTTAGGTCAATGAAGGCCATGTAAAGATCTCAGTGTTGCCACAGCATGAGTAGTTTCCTCAGTGCAACCACAGCTATCTATAGGTCAAGTATGCAAGGAGACATTTGAGCTCCTAAGATGAACCTATGCTCTTTAAAGACAACTCTGCTATCGATGCATGGTGGAAGAAGCACTTTCAAGAGCTCCTGAATAGAGTTTCTAATGTTGAAGACAATGCCATCAAAGCCATTGCACAACACACCATTGATGACCACCTTGCAGATCCACCAACTTATCAGGAGGCCTTGGAAACCATTAAGCAGATGAAGGACAACAAAGCATGTGAACCTGATGGAATATCAACTGAAATGTATAAGCAAGGCAGAAAAAACAGCTCTCACCAAATACATCGTTATTATGAAAATCTTGAAACACGGACAGATTTCCACTGGCTTGAGATGCCAGAATTGTTACCATATTCAAGAAAGGAAATAGAGTGGATTGCAGCAGTTATCGTGGCATTGCATTCCTGTCCTTGGCTAGGAAGATCCTTGCCCACATTCTGCTCAATAGACTCACAGTCCTCACTGAGGAGATTCTACTTGAGTCCCAATGTGGTTTTAGACCTCTGAGGTACAATGAATATGATAATTGTTGCTAGACAGCCTCAGAAATGCTGTGAAGAACATCCATAGATTTCAAAGAGCATTACAATATTGTCCCTGTATTGCAGATGAGTAAACTGCAACACAGTCACTTATTTGACATCGCCCAGCAAAACAGAGACAGGACCCAGGAATCCTAGGTTCTAACCCACTGCTCTATTAGCAAAGTCAATTGTCCAATAAGTAGGGTCTGATCTGCTCCCCACATAACTGTGATAATTTTTCTTCTGGCTTGGAAAAGACTGCTTCTCCAGTTTCCTACTATGACCTTCATGACTACAGAAAAGTTATATACCCTGCGATATTTCCCTATATGTCTATCAGCAAAAGAGAACAAAATAGGTGTGGTCAACAGGGAATGATAGGAACATGCACAAAGTGAAAGATATCAATTTAGACTGTGCCACCACTTCTTCCTGATTGCTCAGTGCATTAAGTACATGAGAAGTGGATTAAAATAATGTTCAAGAAGGGACTTAACAGCCATTAAAAAGAAGCAAGATTTCCATGCAAGCTGAAACAGTGTCCTCACTTCACCCCAGAGAGCTGGAGCATGGCAGCTTGCAGCACAGAATGCTAATGGTTTCTGTCAGAGTGCATAAGTCTGCAGCACACATACACTGGCTGTACACATGGACACTCTGGATGTCTTGGAATGACACTCAGTAGCCTGTGCCATATTTGATGCAATACAAGTGCCTAGTAAAGAGGTAACTTGTACTGGGGATATTGACTTCATCCAAGATGGTTTAAGGAAGTGTAAAATTATACTCCCTGTGCCAAGGAAGTCCCCAGTACCTGAGGGGGATTCAGACAGGAATAGAACAAGAGCTAGGCCTCAAGGTTCACTCCAGGGGAGGTACCATTTTTAGGCTGTGGTTGGGAGAATCAGAGGGGCTCTGCTGACTGAGAGTGCAAACACACAACATATTTAGTGCAAAATTAGTTGCCTTTACTCCTTACTGAAAGTCTTTTGCTGGTGTAAAACACTCTACTCTGGGATAAAGATATCCCTTAGAAACAAGCGAGTAACTGTACACAGACACAAGATACATCCGGGACCACTTGTGTGTTGTTTTTTTTAGTCAAATTGAAAACAGCCTTTTCCAGCTAGTAGCTAGGGAGCGTACTTGTACCTATTGCAGGCAGCTTGTGCAGAGAGCTTATCATGTGTCCAGTCCTTACCACAGAAGGAATTTAGCACAGAAGAAAATACAGAGTAAATTACTGGGTAGTAATTGTGTCATGCATCCACATTCTGAGACTGACAAATCAGTGAACTGCTCAACAATACAGTCAAGCCCTATTCCCCGGCCCGTACCAATTATTTGGGGACAGTGCTAGTCTTCTGCAAGCTCCCCCAAGAAAGCTGTTTTCTATTCCCTCAAATCCCTTCTGGGTTTTTTTTTCTGTTTTGGGTAGAAGTGCACAGATACATCGGTCCCAAATTGGATCAGCACCTACATGAAGAAAATTGAGAGTATCGGCAATCAGCTTTTGTCTGACGTAGCTGATAAGATACCTAGTAAATGTCACATGCATGCATGCAGATGCAGCACAGCACGCAGGCGTCCAGGAGCACAGTGGGGGCCAGCTGGTAAGTCTGTTGTGGGGGAAGGGGTGAGGGAAG